AATTTGGAAATAGTTGTACAGTAAAATAGTTCAATAATTATTCTCCCATAGTGTTGTGGCCAAGCGGTTCCAGTGTAAATGCAGTCCAGATGAGATCTTGCTCCTTAAGAGGGAGGCTTTAAGCAGGTCGGTGGTTTGCTTAGAGACCTCCTCATCAGAATGGACTGCAACAATAATGTACTCCTGGCAGTGCTGGGGAGTGGGAACCAGAGCACGGGGCAAACATAAGCTTTTAAGTGGTGTGAAAGTCAGTGTCTTGCTTAGCAGTGCTTAAGCACCTCAAAGGGACTCAATGCAAAATTCAGAGACCTATGCAAAATGATAAACTCAGTAAAAAAGAAGGTGCCTTATGCTTGGCATTTGGACTCCAGACAGGAACAAATCATTATATATGTATGGATAAATTCACAGACACGCACACATATATATGCATACATGTATCTATGTACACACAACAAGGAGTGTATTTGCGATTAGGAGTTCATTCATCCCAGCATGTCTTCAAGAAATATTCAAATCTGAATTACTTGTGGGAAATCTTCCAAGTACTCCTTAAAATAAAATGAGGCTGCTACCTAGATGACCCTCACAGGACATTTTACTAAACAAAGAGGTGCTAGCACCAAGCAAAGGCAGAAAGTTACTTCTTTGCTGACTCCCCGTCTCAGAGGGAAATCAATTCCTGTTGTTTTCTCTAGCTTGGGCCCATTTTAAACACCTTATTTGAAGCCAACTGCAGCATTGAAAATTCCAATATCCATTAAATCAAACCTCAAATACCGGCTTTGGAAGCTTTATACCACCCTGTAGGCGCAATGGTGTTGAACAGTGAACTGCCTTAGAACTTAAAAAAAAAAACCAAGCATCATATTTAGTATAAACAAATGCTTCAAATGTATGACATCTATTTGCTGCCTTCAAAGGGAAAACTTTTAACTCAGACGCTTGGCACTAAGATCACACAGGATCAGCTCAGTGGACTGACTTAAGTGTTAAACTTTTTTAAAGTACGTTTTTAAGGGCTTGCACCTGCTCCCCCATCCCCATAGATGTACTGACACGTATTTGACTAAACTGACTATATGCATGCCCAAGCAAGCAAGCGGAGCAGATTTTACAAGATAAGCAACCAAGTGTTTTCATGTCTGAGGGTGGCTAGAACACAAAATTGCCAGTCATCTTGTAGGGGGAAAGAATGCCTTTGAAAAAAAATATGTAGGGCATCATTTCAGATATGGTGAAAAGTATTAAGATGCCATCCTGTATACAGGTTTGTTTCTTGTTTTTTTTTTTTTTTTTTCCCTTTAAGTACTGCTTCTTAGATAGGGGCCTAAACTTGGTCCAACTTCTGCAGTGACGACGAAGCTATTCATTAGCGCCTTGGTACTCAAACTGCGGTCCTTTGACCGGCCTATAAGGGCTTCGCCTGGGAGCTTGTTAGAAATGCAGGATCTCAGGCCCCACCCCAGACTCACTGAAACAGAATCTATAATAGAACATGATTCCAGGGGGTCTGTACACACATTAAAGTTTTATTCTCCTTACAGAATTCCTGTGATTCGGATGCACATTAAAATCAAAGTTTTATTTAGAGCATTGGTCCCCTAAGTCAGGTAGATGTTTACTTTGAAGTTTGCAGGGCAGGGAAATGGTCAGAAAAGCCTGCCCTGGAGGATACCAAAAGGCTGTAATTTATGTCAGCAGGGTGGAGGAAAGAGGAAAAGCAATTTACCTAAGCTGAGCAGACTTGCATCTCATCCCCCACTTCACTCTACCCATCCCCTGCAAAAAAAAATCAAATAGAAAAGAAATGGCACCAGGAGATTCTTACTTTCTTTGGATTGTGAATCTATGCCACAGTTACTATCGGTGTTAATTGTTCTTGATTGCACGGTTATGTTCCTTTTGCCTTAGAGCAGATCAGGAGGCTGTGGCGTGTAAACATTCAGTGAATCACTATCTTAACATTAATATGACAGTAGAATAGAAATGTGCTATTTTTAAAAGCCCTTTGAATTATGCACGTAATTTTCCCTCTCCAGTAAAAAACCGAGAGAAAAAAAAACATGGATTGCTTAGTAATCTAGTGATTCTATAACTTGTCATGTAGACCAGGTTTACAGGTCGTCTCTCCATTCTTGGCCTCTTAAGGGTACAGTTTAAAGCAGCAACTGGAGTAGGAATTATAAAAAGATGGAAGCACAGATCTGTAAGCTGCCCACCCTCCCTCTTCCCAATTTTTGAAGGCAAATAATGAACATGCCAACCTGGACATGCCATACAGGTTAAAGCCATGCCAGAGAGGCACACACAGTCAAGACAAGCAGAAAAACAGATGGTCAACTGAATCAATTTTGAAAAGTGGGCCCCTAAAATTCAGAAATGACTATGTGTTGACTTTTTAAAGCCAACTCTGAAATGATTCAAAGGATCCTAGAGAATAGTGGCTGAAATTGAAGACATTCAGTGTTATGTTCATTATGACTCTTTATTCCTCAGAAAGAAGAATGTGAGCTAAAATGTCTGTAACAACAGAATGTTTGTAAAAATACTGTTTCTCACGTGAGCTGCCAAGAGGGTCAGTCTCTGATTATAAAATCTCTGAAACTAACCTGAAAACACCAGCATCTATACATATGTTATATTAGATACATCTTTATATGTATATTTGTGTATTTTATGTTTTATATATTAAGTACATATATGGAAGATAACACAGTTCAGTTGATATCACTGAAAACAGTTTTAACTAAGCAAATTAGAACCAGTGAAGCAGAGAAATCAGAAAGGTGGATGGAACTGCCGAAGGATGAAATTCTTGTGCTATATTCTCATGCTCTCATCTAGAGAATGTGAAGATGAGAAAACATGGGTTATTAGTTTCCACGTGTTAAGACTGTGCGTCTGTCCTTCATGTCCATGGCAAGACAGGATGAAGAACAGCTGGAGAACAAAGAAGACCCCACTCTCCTTAGTTGGTTGTAATCTAATGGTTCTCACCTAATCAAGAACAACAGAACTAGAGATAAAAAGAAGGCAAAAGATTGTAAAAGTCAACCAGTATTAGTAAAAGATAACTATGGTGCACATTTAAAGATAGGGTTTACATAACCTCATAACCTCCAAAATGTAACTAAGCTCATGGTCATCAAAAGTTAATTCCTAGGAAGAATTTGATTATAACAATCTGTTCCATTATAAACACACTGTTTTTTAGCCAATTCCAAGGAGATTAGAAGTAGGTTTCACCAATCATGCATGGCAGGATCAGAGGTGATGCAAAGTCTTAGAAACTGACCTAAAATACTGCCAGTAAAAGTAGTTGTGGGTGCCCTGCTCTTGCAAATATCTGCTGAACCCTTCACTGGGTCCAATTCTAACCCAGAGTATGGAAGCCCTGACACACTGGTAAGTGTTCCTTCTGAGCAGCCTAATTTGACTTCATTCTGTTTGGGCGTGAGTCCAATTGGCAAATGTTCTCATAGAAGCTGATCTCAGACACTTTCCCTTTCTAATTTTTTGGCACCCTTGCCTCTGTGGCATGGGATATTATCTCTGAAACTTTATCTCGGGTTATCCAGGTTTTGCTTGTTTTGTAGGCTCTAGTTTTCCCTTAAATCTTTCTGCCCCAAAGTTCATTTGAAAAATACTAAATCACTGGTAGCACCTTTGGTGCAAATATGACTTGTCAAATGACTTGCCTGCAATTTTCCAGCCATTCTTTACCTTTCCCCTACCCCCTCTAAAATATATAACTTCAGAAACAAAAATGCAAACACAAGGTCATCATTGTGGGTGCTATACAAATGCACCACTTTCTTTTACAGGTTGGACTTTATAGAAAGAAATGCCAGAGCTTTGATATTTATTATCTGAAATAGGTTTAACATTTGGAGAAATGTGTTCAAACAAACAACCTTGGAAAGAAAAGCAAGCTTAGAGTTCAGAGAACAGAGGGTGGGCAGAAAACATGATGTGCATAATTTTGCTGCGTGTTGGGCAAAAAGTTGGAAAATTGGGTTCTTTGGAGAAGAGAGAGCTCTCAGATGAGGTAAAGGTAACATACAAATAAATTTCCAACTCTTGATGAGGGCCACGAGATATCAATTTTAAATATACATGACTACAATATCAATAATGAAGAAATCTTACGTTTTATTGAATACTTTGGCCAGATCAGCCCCTTTGAAGGGATCACTAGGAAAGAAGAACAACAAACCATCATTCACTTTCCTGCTGGTTCATCATTTTCCTAATTATTTCTATTGATTCTGCTTTATTCTTTCTGCAAATTAAGGGGCAGGAGGAGAGTTTCTATAATAGATCAGCAATGTCTGGTTCTTATCCAAATATTCAGCCTAATAAGGATGTAAATTCTCATGGATTGGACAACCACTCTGCAACATTCCTGAGAATTGAATAATATAATAATCTTGAAAGTCAGCAGAGTGGATTATCCACTTTTTTTTTTCTGGACTTGAACTTGTGAACTTAACAGTAGCGTTGCAAAAGAGCAAATGTGCTGAGCACTTTGCCAGAGTAACCTTCCATGTAGACTTTTCATCTTAAATACACACAACTGAAAATAACTACAATTTTTGGAAAATTATATACAAACCCGATACTTCTTTTGATTACATATAAATACAAATTAGCTATTTTTTTTCCTAAAAAGTGGTTATAATAGTAAATAAATACAAAATAAATCTGACCATTATACTTCATGTGCTGGGGTTGAACCCATATAAAATGTACAACTAAATACATTTTAAATCTTTAAGGAATAATTCTCTGATTAAAATATTTGTTTTCCCAACTTCTTTTCGTAGATATAAATATATTTTCAAAATAGTTGTTTTTTTTTCCATTCCATAAATAAAGTCTTCATTGGGAAATATTAAAGTGTCAACTGGGGTGGGTTTTTGTTTGTTTTTTTCTTTTTTCTAAAATACATATATATGTGTATATATATATATATATATATATATACACACACACACATATATATATGTATTTAATTAATTAATTTTGCTGTACTAGCGACACCCACAACCCTCCACAACCATGTCCTGATAGTTCTTTAACACAACCTTTTCATTTTCGTCAAGGTACAGCATGGAGATAGCACTGAGTTCTGTTGGGACACAGCACGCCTTAGGAATCTTAGAGTTCACAGAGTTGACCAACGTCTGAACAATGGCGTGATTAGTGGAGTTCAGATGGTCAGCCAGAGGAAAAGGGCATTCTCCATGGCAGTAAAAGGCGTGATACCCCGGGGGAGCCACAATCCAGTCGTTCCACCCCACATCACTGAAGTCCACGTACAAAGGGTGTCTCTTACAGCTGGATTTAAGGCGTTTCCGCTGTTTGTGCTTTGCTTGACGTTTCTCTCTTTTGTGGAGAGGATGCCCTTTCCCATCATGGCCAAAAGTTACTAGCAATGGCCTTATCTGTGACCAGCTGTGTTCATCTTGGTGCAAAGACCTGCTTATCCTAACATGTCTCTTGGAGACACCTTGTTTCTCCTCCAAATGGGTCACCTCCACCATGAATCCATGGTTGGCGTGTCCCTGTGCAGTCCACCGCATCACAGCGGGGGTGACGTCGAAACTCTCCCACCTGCTCGCATTCTCATTCACCAACCTGGTGTCCAAAAGTCTGGTCACGGGGAATTTTGAGTTGGCTGTTGCAGGTTTTATGATTTCATAAATATTAATTCGGTGATGGAAACTGCTATTGTTTCCTAAAGCTTCTTGCATCTGTTCTCGAAAAACCTGAAGCTCTGCTGAGGTGATAAACTCCTCCGTGGGGATAGAACTCAAATTAAAGAAGAATCGCCGGGTTGTTTTCCCACTGGTTTCTGGTAGTTCTTCCAAAGATTCTAATTTAATAAAGGAAAGCAGGAAAGAAAGAAGAAAAGGTCTTTCAGTAAGCCAAGTAATGACATTTGATTATGAGCATTTTTAAACCTCATTGTGGGATTTGATTTAGCCCATGTGAAAGTAGATAAACAGAAAATAAAAATTTCCTCTTTAAATAAAAATGGAGCCTCCCTTCTCTCTATTCCATAAGTTCATGTCATCATGCAATGCATATCATGAAACAACGTTTCATAATTCTTTGTTGTGATTTTGATCTAATACATGAATACTGCTTCCAGGTGGCTATAATAATGGGGGAAATGGTGAAGCATTTCTTTGGAATTCCAGACTTTAGAGGAAAAAAAAAAAAAGTCAGCACTATAGTTAGTAGAGGTCTAATGAGTAAGGATTTGAGGAAATTATTGCATTTCTTTTTTAAAAAAGGCTTTAATGTCAATCCCTTAAGCAGTATTCTAAAACATTACTCTGCAATTTAGATGATTTACAAATCTCGATATACAGATTTCAGCTTCCTAATTAAAGACTCTGAAACTCAACATCAACGATGACATTTTACAAAGCACACCCTACTATTTTACTCAAAAGTCCAGAGAAAAAGGCATTTACAGGGATCTACTTCTTTGGAAACGTATGGGTGGTACCAGGACACTGTAGTAATTAAGGCCAAACAATTTCAAGAGAAATAGCTTTCCCAACTGTTGTCTGTTCTCTCACCTCTTTATGACCTCAAAAATCAAAATCTCATTTTAGGTGCTTTTGGAAGAAAAATAAATGACCTGTGTTCTGTTTGTAATGCCTTTATAGTTTTAAAAGATAAACCGTATTAAAAACATCATAACTACCTGGTAATAGGCTGCAGGATGGACAGAAAACCAAAATAAAAATTACAAAAATTTACAAAAATACTATTATGATCTATATGACAAAAGGAACAATCTCATCCTATTACAGAATAATCCTTCTATACCCACTATCATTATTTCAAAATGGCCATTTAAATGGGCTATGCATAAAAGTTTTGTCTGATTTTAAATTTCTGAATTCCAATTTTTAAGAAGTATTGTTCTCCAAGCAAATAATATATAACACAGCCCCTTGAATGCTTGTAGTCTGCAAATCATCAAAGGTATGACATTGTTATTAAATTGATAGTATATACCATGAGAGTTTGAGATACCTGGGTTTATTTTATTCTAACTTGACCACATCCTATCATTTCACTGCCAAAATAATTTGCCTGCTTCATTCAGAATTCCTATGCAAGTGCTAACAAAATCTATTTTGCCATAGTTCCATGTTATTGTAAGAAGATACTATGTTTTTATTAATTTTATGGTTGTATTTCCCCTAAAGACAAACAGCTATAAGTTGTGCACTGAATCTAGATGCCTTAGCAAGGGAGAATCACGTCAGATCACTCACTCAAAGGATCACCCTGTGTAACCTTTCATCATCAAAGCAACAGTCATTATGCAAGCTAAGTGGACATACCAAGTTCAGTGTGGTAGTTTATACCAAACTATGGAGTAACACTTTAATGCGGTGCTTTTCAAACTTCAACCTTCACATAAAACAACTTGTACACCATAAAGCTTCAGATGCAGGCTCTGATTCAATAGGTCTGGGGCGACGCTTGAGATTCAGCATTTCTAGCAGCTCCCCGAGAAGGGGATTCAGTGAACTGGTAGACCACACTTGGAGTGTCAAGGTTTTGCAGGATGTTTTTCATATTCAAGTGTAGACTGCCAGAGGAGTGCATTTTTAAAGGAGTGCCTTTTTGTTAAATAATATAAAAATTAGTAGAAGAACCATTAGTGGTGGCAAAAGAGTAGAAGTGGGCCTGGGTGGGCCCAGCCAGGGTCTCAGAACAGAAGGTTCTTCTAAAGCTCTTCTATATGGATATGGAGACCATCAGGCCAATAGAGTCCTTTAGGATTCCCCTGCACCTGTGAATTCACACCTATAGGGAATACCTTTCAGAAGCCATCCACATTCTAAACTCCACCGGAAGCTAATGGTAGCTAATGGAAGCTAATGTGCCTAAAGGCCAGGCACAATCATTAAAATAACCTTCTAACCATTCGAACCTGGGCTCTTCTCAGTGGCTCCAAATGAGTATGAAGAATTGTGTTTAGCCTCTTTTTTTTTTTTTTCCTCCTTCTCCTTGCAATTCAGATGTTTCTGATGAAGGTAATTTTTCAGCAGAGATGGTAAAAGTCAGTAACCTCAGACCCCCAGGACACTAAAGCCAAACAAGCACCTGAGCTACTTCCTTACCTGGTACGAATACACTTAAAAACACCCTCTTTTCTTTCAAAGAGAGGGAAGGCAAGGAAAATTATCTAGAGCATTCACTGACTAGCTGTATTAACAAAAGTGCCTAGAGAAATCACAATTGCAAGAAAACCCTAAATCCCAATCCATAAATAAACATACTTTCACACACTCTCTCTCACACGTACACACCCACACGGGCCAGACAATGACAATGAAGGAACCATCTCCAAGGCAAGCATCAGGGACAGGCAAATGAAGGAAAGAAGATGGGTATACAACAGGTGTACAGTAAAATAATAACCTGCAAAAATATTAAAAGACAAGAATGAATCATATAAAATTGCCACTATTTGACCAGAAACACAGACAGCAGCAATTTCATATGGTTCCAAATCTCAGTGGAAGTATGTAGCCTTAGCAAAAGAGAATCACTCAGTGGCCTTAAGAAAGGAGAAAAATACACTATCAAATAATAAGAGGTGATATGAAGATCTTTCTCTGACCTTCCAACTGCACCTCAGTGAATCTATCCTTGAAAGATCCCATCCTCAATACAAAGGCATCATTGCAACACACCTGATTGCAGACTCAGGTCACAGAGATAAGTTAGAAGTTCACAGAAACCCTCACACCCAGGAAAATCATTGCCCAAGGTTAGGGACTATACCATCATTTTCTTTAATCTGCCAGGGAAGAGTATGAATCTTTTCTTAAGGGTAGAAAAATTAAAACCTATTTGAAATAAAGTAAATAAATAAACAAACCTTCTATAAATTATCACGGCAACCCTGAAGATGCCAAAAATATATAGATTCTCAAGTAATGTATGCTTTATTGGAGACATACAATTGCTAGTTTTCTGTAAATATCCCTTCCGGAATAAGCTGAAGTTCTTAAGGGATTTGAGGATTACGACCTATCTTTGACCCGAGTTTGTGAGCTCCTAAGTTCTTAACCAAATGGACGGAGCTACGGCTGCAAAAATGTGGGAAAGTGAAGAAAAATAAGACAACAATAACATTTGCCCTCTCCTCCAAAAGTGAAGTCCTAATTTAGTCATCTATACTACGTCAATCATTCATCTACCTTAAAATAATTCAAAAGACTGAGCTGAATTCTCCCAGCCAGCCTAGGTCCACTCTAGCTTCCTTTTCCCTAGAGAAGAGAAGACTATAGCAGTAACACAATAAGTCATACTGATCATGATACCTGAATGCTTTTTTGAATGCAATCTGGTACTATCAGGTTTATATGAATTATCTCACAACAAACCAATTAGAGAAAAACTATCATTATCTCCATTTTGTAAATGAAACAGTTGGAGTTCAGAGATGTTATGCAACTTTCCTAAAGTCACAGACCTAGCAAATTAAGAGCAGATATATGTAATTGAATCTATTGCCGTCCTCAAATTTCTTTTCTTTTTTTCTTTTTTTTGAGACAGAGTCTCACTCTGTTTCCCGGGCTGGAGTACAGTGGCACAATCTCAGCTCACTGCAACCTCCACCTCCCAGGTTCAAGCAATCCTCCCACCTCAGCCTCCCAAGTAGCTCACATTAAAGGCATGTGCCATCATGCCTGGCTATTTTTTTTATATTTTAGTAGAGACTGTGTTTCACCATGTTGGCCAGGCTGGTCTGGAACTCCTGACCTCAAGTGATTTGCCTACCTAGGCCTCCGAAAGTGCTGGGATTACAGGGAAGAGCCACCGTGCCCGGCCAGTTCCCAAATTTCTGGCTACCTAACATACATGAGGACTCGAAAACTTAAAAGTCAAAACTATTAGGGGAATATTTATATTTAGTACAATGATAACACTGGGTGAAGTCTGTCCTAACTAAAGAAACAGAAACATACGACTTAGTTATGATGGAGAAAACAGAAATGAGCAGAAAAGTGACGGGGCCCACTGGAAGATGCGGATTTTATACAGAGCCACTGCTATTTTGTGGCTGCCCTTTTGTTCTAAATAAAGTATGGTAACTGTTACCAAAAAAGTCAGTTCCCATTTTGCTTTGAGAATTTTAAAACACACTTTGGACTGAAAACATCTCCATTAAAACAATGACAACAATAAGAAAACCTGGGGACATGCTGGCAGATCAGCAAGGCTAGAAGTCACTTTCCTAACACAAGATGAAAGAGACAGAGTAAAACAGACAAGGTTTTCCAGAAATGAAATAACAGGGAACTGATCAAAGAGAAAAAAATGTCAAATACAAAAGGTTAAAAATAATCCTTTTTTTTTTTTTTAAAGACAACAAAGGAAATGGCAATTTAAAGGAACAGAGAGCATGGCTGTCATCAGCCACCCTGATTTGGCTTTTGCCCACCCTTAGCACCAACACCTTTGGAATGATCAGGTATTCTCTTACTGTCTCAGTGAAAATACAGACAGAGCAAGTCTAAGACGACAAAAGAGCCACTGCAAAGGGATGGAGAGAGGTTTAGGAGAACCACTAAAAAAGAGGTGGAACAGAAAATGTCAGTGCCAAGGAAGTATCATGGGACACCAAGCCTCAATCTCAACAACTATTTTCAAATACAGTAACTTTCCTACTGAATACAGCCTCTGTAATGACAATGAAATACCTGGGGCCCTGGGGACTATACCACGTAAGCATCGGTTTGGTGGAGCTATGTGTCCAAATCCATCCTTTGTACCGGGAATTTGTGCCACAAAGTCTTTATCATGGGGCAATAGTTATTTTTTGAACTTTTCTATTATATGGATATTTTCATAATAATTATATTTGTAGAAAGAAGGTTAATCTCTATTTGAAAGCTTCAGTCATAGAGGTAATATAATTCAGTTATTTCATGTAACAAGAAGACTGTGTCCTTCAGAGTGAGGAGAACAAGCACCTGGTCTTTCTATATTCCCATCTGACAAAAAACATAAAGACTTTTTGGTGGGGCAGTGAAGTCAACCAGTTTCAATGTGTTTCCAACTACAGCAATGCATAAAACACTCTTTCCACTTGGAGAAGTGACTTTTCTATATTCAGTGGCAGTTCTAAAAGGCCCATGTAGCTGAAGCACTTTTAATGACCTTGGAACCAATAAAATTTTAGTAAAGCTTATATTCTCCCAAATAAAAGCCACTGGAGAAAGGACTAGACAAAGTTCAACAGAAAAAATACAACTGATAATTCGGACTCAGATCCTCTATGATATGGTCCCATTATACTCATATTGGTTGAAAGAACTCCATCATGATGTCTCTTGTCTAGTAATTCCACCAAACCATTCGATCACACCCTCAAAGAAAACCCAACAGGTAATTCTTATGATTGGGTCTTTATGGTCTTTTATCAAATACATGCTCATTAATGCTGTAGAAGCTAAATTCGGTTGTTGAGCCAGCAACCTTAATCACATGGTTTATTAAAAAAAATTTTAGTGGCATGCATGGCACAAGGATGTTTATAAAAAGCAAATCCTGAGTTTATACAACAATGATTAGTCTTGAAAAAAGTGCTATCTCTATCCAGCCTAATGATGATATATTAGTCATAACTAGACAAGAAATGGGTTAGTTGAAACTTGGGGCAAGATTACATAGCTTTTCTCCATTATCTAACTGCATTAAGACCTGAAGTTATTACAAGTTGATTTTAATCAAGTTGGTAACTTCTGTACTGTTTTGCAGATAACATTTACACTCACAAAGATATAAATTCTGATTTTATAAACTCAAACATGCTTTTTAAGTTATAGTAACACAGTTGAATAATGTGTAGCCTGTTCAGTTTTGATCGAGCCACTTCTAGAGGAATGATGAGACTATGCAGACATCACTGATAAAAATCCTCACACAATCGAATGTTTTACTTGTTAACTAACTTAAATGATGATCTTCCTTTTAAGTTATAACAGAGACACAGCATCTTCCTGGCCTTAAAAATAAAGTTAAGAGCCTCCATGCTAAATTTCCAGAAGAGGTGCCTAAAACAGCTGTTCTTATTACATGTCTATACTCAAACAACAAACAAACAAACAAAACTATTCTAATCAGCATTTATTGGGAATTATTAGCTGGATCTATAATAATTTCAGGGTTAAGAGGGCAGAATACACACATACACACACACACACACACACACACACACACAAATTTTACATACAACAGATGACTTCTGCTTTCACTGGATGATTCTGAAAGAGCGGAGTGAGTTCTTACTGCCTTTCAAATCTGATTTCTGCTAGCAGAAATGTGCTTGAAAATGAACTGATGATCAATTCAGTATCCCCACCATGATGCATAGCTGCCTCAATGATAATGTATCTTCTGCTATATGGCCTACCTTTGGGACTTATTTCCATTACCAGCAAATGTTCTCACAAGCATAAGTCATCCTTCACACTGGGAGAAAACATCTGGCTGTGCCATTTCTGATTAGTGTACTATCAGTGCAGACTTCCCATTTGAAACTTACCACCCAGGCAGGGAAAGGCAAGAAAGAGAAATTCACTCCCAACTCTCCAAATAGCCTTCATTGCTCTGTGATGTACAACTTTGTACTCTTTTCTAGGATTTGAAGAAACTCATGCTCTATGTTAAACGTATTAAGCCAAAGAAGCATCTAAAAGTGTAGAAAAAGAATTGGAGTGGAATATATTTTTGACTAATTGCTCTAAGAACTTAGATACAGAGGCTCTCAATAGCTGCTGTAAGACATTTCCGCTCCACTAAATGCCCTTCTGATGAAACAAGCAGATATATACCAACTTAGAAAAACCACATGTAGTATCATAAAAGAAAAAAAAAATCCACATTTCAGCGCACATGAAAAAAATAATAATAACAGGCAGCTGCTACAAATGCTTTTATCTGAAGGCTTGCCTTGTCGCTACTCAGAGCCTATCTCAGATTTAAGCACAGGACAAGAAAGCCATTGTGGAAACAATAAGATTGATTGTAGAATTGATCTCCCACGGGGATTAGATCGGGATTCAAAATCTTCCAAACCAGGCACAGATCAACTATAAATTAGAAAGACTTTGGGCTTTGATTTTTCAATACTATCTCTGCAAACTCTGCCCTTGGCTCTGTCTAGCCTGAAACCCTGGCTTAAGCAGCAGATTTATAGAGCAAAAGCTTCCAAACAGACTTAAAGAAATCTCAATCTGCCTCCCTTTTTCTCCTTTTCTCTCTGTGGAATTCTTGCACGTTTAGCTGACTAGGGGCATGCCTTTTGCCCTCATCTTCCCCATCATTTGATTTCTCTCCAGTTCCTGGGGAGGAGTAGCTCTTCTGGCTGCCAGCCAGGAAGAGGGTGGCGGAGTTACTTAAGGGGAATCCCTGGCTCCCCCACCACACAAGCGGTGAGTTAAAATCAGGTTCAGAAACGATGGTACAGAAACAAGAGGGGAAACGTCCCCGGTGCCCTGGCCAAGTTGCCTCTACAGGGATGGCTGCAGTCCGCCCCCGGTGGAGGGCTTTGCAGGGTGACTCCCCGCCCCCACGCCCTGCTCCACGCCTCACCTTCATGGTGGAAGCTTCGCACAGTGTTGGCTCGGCTGGCTGCCCTCTCCAGCCGGTGGTCTGGGGCGGGTGCGCCCGGCTGACCCGAGTGCCTGCGATACAGGTCTAGCATGTAGGGGGGCACCACGGCGTCCCTGCTGGGGGTGGGTCTCTGCTTCAGGCCGAACATGCTGAGCAGCCGCAACTCGAACTCGCTCAGGACCTCGTCGGAGGGCTGGGATGAGGGGCGGCCCGACGACGACGCCGCGAACTTCCTGCGGCCCAGCTCCGGAACGAGGCCGGCCGCGCCGCCCAGGAGGACCTGGGGAAGCAGCAACGCTAGAAGACAGCGGGTCCCGGCCACCATGGTCGACCTGCGGACAGGACCGACGTGAGTCACCCGAGTTCCCCGCCCAGTCCTCCCCCCTCGCGCCCCCGCGGCCCCGGCTCCCGTTTGGCAAGCTTGCCTCCTCCAGGGTGCCCTCCTGGCTTGGCACACTCGCGAGTCTACGTAAGACCGACCAAGGCTCAAATGTTTGGGAAAATGAAAGGTCCCAAGTTCCAGGACCAGATGAGTTCTCGCTCCCATACAACTCTTAACTCGTCTGACATCGGATCTGGGGTTTGCCCTCCCCTCCCAACCAAACCAGCTGCAATGATGGTCACCTTTTTGTTGTGACACAGCGCTGACAGTCAACGCAGGGAACCTGGGAGAACCACCGCTTGGTCTGACATCCTGCGTCCCCTATACAAACCCAAATGCATAGTGCTCAGCGCTCTCTGGCATATAAACACACGCAAATGGTGCATGTGATTTCCTTAGAGGCGCTGTATAGAACTTCCTCATACACACACACACACACACACACACACACACACAGAGAGAGAGAGAGAGAGAGAGAGAGAGAGAGAGAGAGAGAGAGAGCGCCTATAATTTCCAGACTCTGTAAGCTCAAGGCCACAACTTCCAAAGCCACTTACAACTTGTGGCCCAGGCCCCTAACCTCAGGGGTGTCTGGAGAGGCCACTCAATCCCGCATCCCCATAGTACAGTCAAGACACACATGTATCTTCCTGGGATTACGTAAATGGCGAATATCTATTAATGCACGTGTCAGCTGTTAAAAACACAGTACCAAGTGATCCTTCAGTACTGACCGCTCGCATTTCTGGAAACAAGTAGGGAGAATCCCAACTCCTAGTACTGTCCTAAATGGGACACGGCTCTGTGTAAAGAAACCAAGTCTCTCGGCCACACTTGAAGAAGGGAGATCACCACGGCAGGGCAGACAGATTCTCAGCTAACGGGTGAAAGCCAGGGACTACCCTCTCAAAGGGATTTCCTTGACCCTTGACTCTTAAAAAAAAATTCATCTAAGTGTTAACAGCTCCACAAGTATTCGGGGGAGAAGGGAAAGAAGACGGGTGGAAGAGTGCGGGCTGGGAGGGTGAGGCTGATGGTCTCCCGGGGCAGCTGGAAGGGGGCACCCCCACAGGGCTCCGTTGCACGTGGACCTGGAGAGGGGTCTGTTTACTTCTGGCCTGGACATAAGTAAGGGCTCTGCCGCAGTGGCTGCCCAAATCCCCCTCCCACCTACCCCCACCCCGGCCCCTGGCCCGTGTCCTCTACCTTTAGGAGACCGCAGTCCGTCTAAGAAGCACGCGGGGACACGTCCATTGAAAGAGCGTCCACATGGAAAAACTCTGGTCGAAGGACCTGGCGCAAGGACCGAATGTCCGTTCCTTTTCTTTGCCTCCTCCTTCTCCCGGGTGCCGGCCGCGCAGTCTCTCTTTTCACGCTGGGAACAGCGTCTCAGGGTCCGGCAAGGCCGAGGAGTGGAGGGGCGGTGGGGCTCGGAGGTGGTGAGGCAGGATCCGCTGGGGCAGAGGCACCGGCGCAAAGTGGGGAGCGCAAGTTACTTTCCCTGCAAGTTCAAGAACTCCCCAGCCAAGTGCTGACACACAACAACAGCGAGCAGGGGGAGGAGTGCGGGGCAGGGAAGGGAAGGAAAGCGAGAAAGGAGAAGCTGGTGCAGTCGTCCTCCTTAGGAACCAGCGCCCGTGGGACGCGTGGCCCCGCGCGGGGCCAGCTCCGGGACTCGGGGGGCGAGGGTCCGGCGCTCCGCGCTAGCTCCGCCGCGGCCCATGGCTCGGGGCAGCCATCCTGGGCGACGCCGGGTCCGGGGAAGGGCACGGCGGCGATCTCGGTGCCAGGCGAGTTGCCACCCCGCATCACTCTGCCTTACTCCAGTGCACCCCCATTCGCGCTCGCCAGTCGAAAGCACCAAGGCTCAGGCGCCCAGTCGTCCTCGGGCGCATTCTCCGGCGAGTTGAGCCGAGTCCCGGGCCGCCGAGGCGGGTGGCTGTGCTCTCCCCTCGCTCTCCCAGCCCTGGGGGCCAAGTGCCCTTTGTGGCTAGCCTGGGGTCCGATCACACCTCTGCCGGCGCGTCCCAGGCCCCGGATCTCCGGCAGGAGGTGCTCCGCATCGCGGCGCTCGGGTTCGGCTACAGAGTCCCCGGCGCCCTGCGCGCCCGTCCGCGGCTCTGGCGAGGCCACGGCGCTGCGGCGCGCTCGGCCGGGTGCTCCAGCCCGCGCGGGGTCTGCGGCGCGCGGGTGCCTCGCGCCCCGCGGGTGATCTGCGCGGCGCCGGCCCCGAGAGCGTTAGGGTCGCCGGCGGACGCGGTGGCGGTCTACGCGCGGCGGCAGCTGCCAGTCCCCGGCGGGGTGTGGGAAGCGGAGCGGCTAGCGCAGCGCGAGCCGGGCGCAGCGCGGCGGGGCGAGGACTCCGGCGGCGACGGCGGCGGCGGCGCTGTGGCGCGGCGCTCGCGGCTTTTAAAGGGGACGCCGCCAGCAGGCTCCCTCCCGGCCTCCGCCGAACACCTCCCCCTCGGCGGCGCGGGCCGGGGATCCCCGAGCGGGCGGGAGCTGCGCGCAGGGGTGTGGACGGCGCGCCCGGGCAGCCGCGGCGGGGTGGGGCTGAGGGCGGGGGCGTGCGGCCGCCTAGGCGAGCGCTCGCGCCTCCACCCCCTGCCCTCAAAGGAGAGATCGGCTGGCGCGCCGGACCCTCGGGGGACTCTAAAGGCGAAATCCAGGACAAATGCAGGGTCAGGGTCTGGCCTCTATTTCCCCTCTGGGCCCGTTATTCAACTTTCAGTTTGAAGTTTTTCGGTAATATACGATTTCAAAAAGTAAAACAAGACACCTAAATTGCAGCGCATTTTGGCATAGCATAGACATGGGATCCACAGTTCTGTTTCCCCGGAACAGGAGGAAAATTAAAAGAAACAGGAGGCTGGAAATTGAGTACTTTTAAACATTAATACATAGAGATGTGTGTATTTACATATGTAAATGCATGTGTACAAATTCCATTTACATAAATATGTGTATGCATTTATTTTCATATCCATGCGCATGTAAATGTATATTTATATAAATATATCCTTGTATCTTTGTGCCTCAGAGGCAGGTGATTAGCAGCTCAGAGGAAGGTAAAACAACGCATAGCGTGAACCAAGCATACAGGACAATTTCAGTGTGGGGCCTCAGAACCTTCTACTTCACCCTCTTCCACCAGGCCCTCAAGAAGCAGGGCTGTGACATGTGGCAACATCACTCCTCAGCTAAATATTCACTCAAGTCACCCCTCAGCTGAAATATTCTCAGAGCTGCTGCACCGTGAGTCTGGGGCCAAGGCTTTCTACCCTTCCCAGAATTCCAGGACCCCCCTTGCACAGCACCTCGGGGTTGCCCAAATGATCCCCAAAATCAAGGGCAGAAATTTTTGGTAAAGGCCAGGTTCTGCTTTCCCAGAGCTATCGGGCCTGCAAAACACAGAGAAAAAAGTCAGAAGCGGGAGCTGGTAATAAAACTATTATCCGTGTGTATTATTTTTTCGGTGGGGGAACTAAAATAATTCTAGGTTCCGCTCACGTAAATCGGATTAGCAACCCACAGAGGCGAATTAGGCACTTGCTGTTTCTAAAGGTATAAAGGTCAAATAAGGTATTTTGGAGGAAGCCTTTCTACCAGGAAAATAAAAGAGAGGTGGGGGGGAGTTATTCAGGAACATGCTACTTTATTTCTTGCGGGGATGGGAGGGCGGAAGGCGCTATAGAAATTGACTGTCACTCTAAGTCATTGGACAGCAAACAAGTAGCCAATAAAACATAGTACACAAATAGACACAGTTTAAAAAGTATTTACTGGGCTTCTGAAAATACTTCCTTTCCTATCAAGTTTGAGAAGTTAACTATTGTTTCTGTCATTACTTAGATTTCAAAAACAAAACCAAACCCCTATGAGACTTCAATCAATAGGTAACTTTTAAAGAGGAGGAAAACTTGATAACTATTGAATTTCCCCGAAGAAAAAGTAAAAAATAAATGTCCTGTGATGACATCAAGGATGCCTTGCAGCTTTAGAACTTCTTAACTTGGTAAGCGGAAACCTTGTCAATTTAGAATCTGAGGGGAAATGGGTAATTCTGACCACTGTTTCATGTTAGTGTTGCCAATTGCAGAACCTCTCTTATGCAGGGTGTGCGACCTCTGAGGATCTACTGAATGCCTGTCCCAAGCACAACTTACCTAAATTTTGGCCCTATTTCTCTCAAAAGCAAGGCTGCTTTTTTTTTTTTTTTTTTTTAAGAGATGGCTGCCCTCTTGTGGTGGAAATGAGTTTGAACGCTTGAAAGAAAGAAGTTCATAAATAAATAAAAAATAAATAGTCTCCAAAGACTGTGTTTGGGATGCGAAGTACAGGCTGATTGTATACCCATTTTCCAGGGAAGAGCAATAGGCAGAAATGATAAATCTAAATAGAGATGAACTGTTTCTTTCTTTCTTTTTTTTTTTTCTCCACTAACGGCTACCTTCCATCTGCAATTTAGATTGCTGGGTTATTTAATACGTTGGGAGAGTGTCTGTTTGCCTTGAAAATATCACTTGCTGCTAACCGTTATTGATTCTAACTTTTTCAAAGGTTCAATCAGAGTTTCTCAGTTGAGAGGCTGACTTTCATTCTTCCTATCAGATTTGGTGTATCTGCCAGCAAATGTGGGGAGGGGCGGAGGTGGGAGTGGGGAGTTGTTTAAGAAAGGGATAGAAGTTGCAAATTCAAATGCCTCATAGGGTACAGACAAGTTATGTATAAAAGCAAAGATGACCAGATAATGATTCCACACTAAGGAGGTCGTTGCTATTCCATTTCAGTCATTTCTTGTCAGTTTCTCAAGAGATGGTGGGAATTTGCATTTGATTGTGCGTGGACAGAACTCAGGATGAAATGAAGTGTTTACAGTCACACTTAGGCAACTTTTACTTTAGCACTTCAGCTCACATGGTATTTCATTTGATTGCATTCTGTAGTTATTAGCGTTCAGCATTGTTCTTGCTAGGCCAACCATTATGCAAATTAATATTAAAATAGTGATCCTCATGTCTTCTAAAGTTCACAGCAGGCATTACATGATCCATCTGCCTTGGAAACCTGTGATAACTGCCCTGAGAAATACTCTTTGCTTTTTAGCATACATATCGCTTTGTTACAAGTTTGACACCCAAAACCAGCCATACTTACTTTACCTGGATGAAGTTTTTGTTGTTGTTGTTTAGTTTTGTTTGTTTGTTTTGAGACTGAGTCTCACTCTTTCGCCTAGGATGGAGTGCAATGACGCAATCTCAGCTCACTGCAAACTCCGCCTCCCAGGTTCAAGTGATTCTCCTGTCTCCATCTCCTGAGTAGCTGGAATTACAGGCGCGCACCGCCACACTTTGATTAGACATAATAGGAACGATGTGTGGAGTGGGGTAATTTATACACAGAGCCAGGCCAAATTGGCCAAGTATGATTGTTTTAAACCTCCACTACATATTATTTAATTATCATATACCAATACGTTTGCATACCTTGTCAATGATATTAAAATGTTTTGATAATTAGACTGTGAAGAGCCAACCACAGTATTTCGTTTTATATACCCAGTCTACAAATATTTATTGAGCAGCTATGAAGCCCATGGCACTATGTCACTAGGTTCCAGTTAATACAAAGATATATAATGTCTGCACATCATTATTTAGAATTCAGTGGAAGAAATGCAACATGTTTACAGGTAAATAAATATAAAATATATGGCATATGAGATAAGAACTTTAAGAGAGTTGAGAATCAATTGCTTCAGGTTTAACAAAGAGCAACTCACTTCTGAAATGTGGAACAAAAAAAACCTTGCTCAGTGAGGGTCACTGCCCTTATTTTACAGGTGAGGAAACTGTGCTTAGAAAGGTTAAGCCATTTTCTCAAAGCTACGTGGTTAGCAAGTGGCAAAGCTTACACTAGACTCATATTTTGGGAGCTTTGGACTTCCCCCACCCCCAACTATGCCATGGTCTTTCAATTCATTCCCCCCACCCGCCCTACCCACTATGCTATGTTTTCTCAATTCAAAGCCAAGACATCACCTGAAAAAAAATTAGGATGTTGTTTTGAGGAGTACAAAGAGGTAGTTCAAATTTGGAGGTGGGGTTGGATAGGGTTAAGACTATACTAGAAATTAAGTCTATTCCTTAGACCAAGCCCCAGGAGGAAAATGATGGGATATTCTAAAGGGCCAGTTGAAGGCAGTTGAACAAAGAAACATTATACAAAATTGTGGGCAGACTTGAGAGGAGGTGGCTAGAGATCATGAAGTATCATGGCCCTACATTGGGCAGCCAAACCAGGAACACAGGGGCAGTTGCGAGAGCCCCAAGAAAGCCACAGCTGAAGGCAAGCCATTGGCAGAAGCCGGGAGCTGGAAGGGCAAATAAATATCTCCACCTTTCTTTTCTCTTACTCTCTGAACATCTGTGGACATCGCCCATTGGCCTAACTGAACCAGAAGAGCAAGTGTATTACTTACCTATTGCTGTGTAATAAGTAACCATAAACTTTGTGGCTTGATGCCCATTTTATTATCTTGAAGTTTTTGTGGGTCAGGAATGTAGAAAGAACTTAGTTCTCTTCTCAGGGTCTTGTAAGGCTGTAATCAGTTTTGACAGAGGCTGCAGTTTCGTACAAGCCTCAGGGTTCTCGTCCATGCTCTGGTGGTTGTTGGCAGAATTCACTTCCTTACAGCTGTAGAACTCATTCTTGGTTGCTTTTCTCATCAAGGCCAGCAGGAGACTGTCTTTCTGACTATTATACCCCGTTTTAAAAGATTCACATAATTATATTAAGCCTTCCCAGGATAATTTGTCTTTTGATTGACTCGAAGTCAACTGATTAGAAATCTTAATTACATCTGCAAAAGTCACTTCACTGTTACGTTATAACATATTGCAATAAGAGGGGCAATATCTCCTGATATTCATAGATCCTTCTCATACTCAAGAGGAGGGAAGTATTCAGAGCTTTTACACCAAATGCTCAGACTCTGTCTATGCAGCCTGTAGACGTTAGCCTCTCAGGCACAGAGGAAGAAAAAGAGTAGGTTTCCTTATGGTGTGGATCTCCGGGTACAAAAAGAGAATATCCAACCTAGTAAGATTTGAAAAGTGGCAGACTACAGGATCTTAACTCTTGCCTCCTACTCCAAAGAGTTTGTATTCTATTCTATATAAATGCATCACTGTGAAATGTTTTTACTAGAGGAATGACATGTTGGAGATGCAAGTTACAAAACAAATCTCCTATTTGGTAGAGTGCAATAGTGCAGTGGCACTGTAGGAAGCACAGAGAGAGACTGTAGATAATGGAACCAGTCCCTAGCTTTTGTAATGCTGCTCAGAAGTGGTAACGGGGTCTAATATCCACATGAAA